CTGCTGTCCAGTTTTGTCTAGGGTATACGTGGTGCAGCTGAGGATCTGGCTCTCACTCTTTAGGAAAGATTTACCTGGAGTGTTGTAGGAGAAATAAATTTTGCATAACTGAGAAACAATTAAAGGGTGTTTCAGTTTGCACGTAACCTCCAGGGGCTGGGGTGCGGTCAGATGCCGACAGCCTTTGGCTGCTGCAGAAGTGGGAGAGCGTGGGGACCTGGGAGTCTCACAGAAGACCCTGTGAGAGCTGCAGCTCGGCTTTGTTAAAGCTTTGGAAATCTGGGAGTATTTTCTGCACTTCTATAAATATGAAGGAAAGCCTGTGTTCTTTAGATGTAAATGAGCAAGAGGAAGGCTGTGACCAGGTACTGTCACCTTTGCTTGTCCTTTCTGTGCGAGGGGTGCAGGATTGAGGCAGCAGGCAGAGCCCAGCCCAGGCAGGAGTGCAGGCAGGGGCAGTGGGAGCACTTTCGCTGGGTGCTGGTGATGCGGGTACTGGTCTGGTGGGCGCGCTGTTGAGCTGAACACAGCCTGCCCGAGCATCGCTCGGCAGGTTGGGAGGGAGCAGAAGAAAGGATAAGTAAATGTTGAATTTCAAGAAACGGAGTAATACGAAACTCATTTTGTTGCTGATGGTGGCAGGTGAGTTACAGTCATAACGAAGGAGGCTCATAAAAGGTCGATGGTCCCTATTGATCTGGCTTTTGCTCCATACCAAGTTCTGACTGTCAGTCGTAGTGCAGCAGAGAACAGGCCTGGAGAGGGGCTTGGGGAGGTTCCCATGGGTGCCCTGGCTGCCTGGGGAGCACGGGAGAGCTTCCCAGCCCTTGCTTTCTGGTAGCAGCACCCTTTGCCCACCCTCCTCTGCCTTACTGACTGCACAGAGAATTGGTTTTCCTTTTTTCTTTTGAGCATCCTCAGCTCTCATGAGTTGTTTAGTAGGCAGCAGCTGATGCTTTTAAGGCTGCTTCTGGAGGGTTCTTCCCTGGTTTGGGAGAGCATTTAAAGAGGAGGATTTCTCCCACTGTTCTCTTGCTTGGGGCTAAGGGCAGCCCATTTCCCTGTGCTGCGCCGGGGAGCTCAGGGGAGGCTTCTTGGCAGCTGTTGCTGCTCTGCATAACAAGAACTGGTGTTGGCTGGCAGATCGGTTCGCTTTCCCCACTCTCCCTTCACCTGAGGCTGTTATTACCAATTCTGGCAGCTCTTCCACCCTCCCTGAGCAGCTGCTTTTGGGGCACATCGCGCTGCCTCCTGTGATACCAGCTGGTCTCCTGGCTTGGCTGCTTCCAGCATGGCACCGGGCAGGGAGACAGCAGGCACCCTCCCTGCCGGCAGGCTGAGTATGTCAGCCCGGGGACACATTGTGGTTTTATTAGGCAGAGCCTGTGTTCAGTGCCAGCCGAAGTGCAGCCAAAACCAGCCCCGTCCCTCCTCAGTTGGATTAAGCACAACCTTTCCAGCCAGGGAAGCTGCTCGTCACTCCAGTGGCAGCTAGTGTCTCACCTCCTGGGTGCTCTCCTGCTGTTCAGGTTCTCCAGATGCAACAAAATTTAAAAAAAACCAACAAACTAGCGATAAATCATTTATTTCAATAGTGACAAAATCTGATTTGCTTTTCCAGAATGCTGACAGTTTCCACTGCTCAGCTCTGCTGCTTAGAGTTGTAACGGTTAATGAGAAATGGTTTGGAAACTGCTACTGTTTTAATTGGTAAAGCAATTACTGTTTAGTTTTGATGGTGGAAAATAACTGCATGTAAGGTGTTCCTCTTTCTTTTCTGGATTCCTTCAAATTTGGAATTAGGCTTCTCCAATTATGTACTTTATACACTTTGGAAGCAGATCTTTCAAATAAGTGCTTACTGCCTGGTATTCTTATGCATATAACTTTTTTAAGGTGAATAGACTCACAGGACTTAAAAGGAGTATTAATGTTGGTAAAATTACCCTGAAATGGGAGTGTTTAGAGGTTGAGGACTTTTCACTGGTAGGGCTCTTTTTTAATAAATAAATAACATGGAAGCATCCAGTTTCCATAAAGAAAAGCAGACATAGGATATTTCTGGTTTCTTCTGTTGCTGCAAATGGTAATCTTTTTCTAATATGGCTATCAAAAGAAATAAATGCCAAAGTCATCTTTAACAAGGCAAGGCTGTACAAGTAAGTTAGGGAGTCAAATCCTGCTGTATTACATATTGGAGATAACTCGCGATCAAGACTTGCTCTGGGTTTTCACCAAGACCGAAACTTGATCCTTTAAATCCAGTGTAAAATAGTAAAATAAAGGGAATTTGGGATTAATTTTCTTAACATCCTGTGTCATCCCATTGTGACCAAGCACCACTTGTGTATAAATACCTTGTCCCTGCCACCAACTGGCAGTCTCAGGAGCAGGTATAACATACACGTGGCTTACGCTGGGAGCTGAAGCCTCAAAGCCTGTTTGCTCCCCTCAGCCGTGTGAATATCAAAGAGAAGACGCCGAAGGCAGAGGCAGCGATACGATGTGTTCCCACATGCTCATCGCATAAGTATCTCCCACCGCTCCACACTCCCCGTGGCAGGGAGCAGCCAGGGAGCCTAGGCTTTGCAGGGTTCCAGCAAGCTTTTCTTACCTTAAACTCCTGCCTCAGTGAACACGACTGGTGAAAGCCACGTGCGTCTGGGGAATGCCAAATGTGGGGAGGTGTCGTTTTAAACTGCCACCAGTTAGAGTGACACAGTGTGTAAAAAAACCCCGAATATCTCCTTTCTAATAATTTTCATTGCACATACATGTGAGAAGGGGTAGGAACCAGAGCAGGCATGAAATGTCTTTTTAACTCTTGGCATGAGTGACCAAGGCTCAAAGGACCCCAGTGCTGGGTGTTTTTGCTTCTGGTGTTCCCCATGCTGTGGGAAGGATGATGCCAGGCTCCCCTTCTTCCTACAGAGTCCCTTTTGCAGAGGCAAGAATGAAAAGTTAACCCTCCTGATGTAATAGCAGAGGTCAGGTGGACCAAGATTACAGTGAAAAGTATTGCAGCCTATCCATTGCAGACTTTTCTCATCCCTACGTACAAGGATACACACTCTCTTGTTATGCAGTTTGTTTTTATGGTAAAAATTGCATTGCTGAAATAAAGATGCAGAAAAGCCAGCTACTAAGGTGTATCTCCTGAGGGACTGAAGTGGTACAGAAAGCTGACTAGGGAAAAAACTCAACCGTGGGTTTGGGTTTTTTTAAGTAGCGTGCAGACCATCACAAAAGCTTTTAGAGCTCAATGCTGGAAAACAAGTGCCAGATTATCTGCATTTGAAGGAGAAAATTGGAAAGGTAACAAATGAAGATCCTTGTGAAATAATTTCTTAGTGTTTGAGTGCAAGTATTATCTCCATGTCACACCTAAAGGAATGAAACAAGAATAGAGTAGGTGGTTTGTGCAAATAAACACAGATAAGCTTGGCAGAAAAAGCTGAATGGTTGTACATCTGTTACAGTCTGCAAGTGCCAGTCAAATAGACTTTTAACTGCGTTTACTCAGTTGATTTTTTTCATCCTTAGAAGGAAGGCTTGCAAATAAAATTCTGTGTAATGATGGAAACTGTATTAATTTTATAATTGTATTATTACTAATAAAAGTACTAATTATGTGCTGCATGTTTCCCTCCAGCCCAACTCTGACAGCATTTATGCCTTTCCATTATTGTGTGTCTTGTTAGTGAAGTATGGGTATATATTTATTTTATTGTAAAAATAGTGACAGCTGTCATCCTTTGGATTACAGTGGACAGACTTGAATAGATTTCAGTAAATTTGGGTAAGGTACCTCTCACCAGGATGTAATATAACTTATAATACAGTAAATTAGAAAATGGTCTAATGAAAAAGTCAGAATTTGCTCTTTACGATGGCACGGGCGCAGCATTGTCACATGTCCTTCTCTTGTGTGTTACAGATCTGAATGCCTCACAGGCCCAGGGTCCCCAGACAAGCATTCCAAACCCGGGATCCATCCAGCCGCCACAGGAAAAACACCAGCCCGAGGGTGTGCAGGATGCAGAAAGTGGAGGCAGAGTAGAGGAGAAGATTGTTTACCTCTGATGGCTCATCTTCTAATCTCAGTAGCACTTTGGAAATATAATTGTGTCCGCTTTCCTAAATGTCTGTAGTTGCTCTCTGTATGACCAAGTGGCTTTAAGGGTAGTATTTAATATTCAATGAAAGATTTTCCCCATGATAAATATAACAATTAAGTTATTTTGAAGCCTTTGTTTTACAATCTTTAATTTATGACATGATTTCAGATGCTTTGCAAGAAGCAATGGTTAGCAGGGGAGACATAACATTTTGGAATTGTAAAGATGCCACCAAGAGCTATGAAAGCTAGCGTTGACTTTCTTGAGTCTTCTTTTTAAAAGGGCAAGCTAAGAGAGATGGGTCTGCTATTGAGATTTCAGAGTATGGATCAATAACCTTTCTACAGTTGTGATATAACGTGAGAAGACAGCAATGTAAGAATGATGGCTGTAGTCTTTGCTGAAATGTGCTATGTACCCTTAATTATGAGGTTATTTTATTTATCCCTTGGCTCAGGAATTGCTCAGAAGAGGATGGTTTTTATTGCTGTGGTGATCCTGGCTGGGGGACAGGTGCCCACCAGAGCTGCTCTGTCACTCCCCCTCCTTAACTAGACAGTGGAGAAAATGTGTAACAAAAAGCTTGTGGGTCGAGATAAGGACAGGGAGAGATCACTCACTAATTATTGTCATTGGCAAAACAGACTGAACTTCGAGAGAAAATTAATCTAATTTATTACCAAGCAAAACAGAGGAATGAGAACTAAACCAAATCTTAAAACGGCTCCCCCCATCCCTCCCATCTTCCCGGGCTCAACTTCACTCCCCATTTCTCTCCCTCCTCCCCCCTCAGCGGCACAGGGGGACGGGGAATGGGGGTTGTGGTCAGTTCATCACACGGTGTCTCTGCCGCTTCTTCCTTCTTGGGGAGGACTGCTCACACTCTGCCCCTGCTGCGGTGTGAGGTCCCTCCCACAGGAGACAGTCCTTGACAAACTTCTCCATCGTGAGTCCTTCCCACGGGCTACAGACCTTCACGAACTGCTCCAGCATAGTCTCTCCCATGGGGTGCAGACCTTCAGGAACAGACTGCTCCAGCGTGGGTCCCCCACAGGGTCACAAGTCCTGTCAGCAAACCTGCTCTGGTGT